ACGGGACTGACATACAGCCCCATGAATAAAAGGGAGCCTCACCAGCTAACATGATGCTTTGAGTAACCTACATCAGAGTCTTCAAATCTAGTTTCTTCCCCATATTACTCTACTTATCATTTCTGGCAGCCCCATTTCTGGGCTGCCTTTGCTACAAAGGATTCCCATTTATGCTGCCCAATGTGTGTGTCTTCTCTTGGGACCAGTATTCATTTAAGACAATGACATTGGCATCATTACTTGTCCATTAAAACTGTTTCTTTCCTGCCTGTATGCAGGTTCAGTGATAGCAACACTTAGTGTCCAGCAGTAGTTTGAGAAGGTCACTTTGCAGAGAAAACTTAAGAAGTCCCAAAGAATTTTCTTAAACACTGGGACTCTGAGAATGGTGTTGTATCATCAGTGAATTTGTAGCAACCAGTGTTGTTGCCGTAACCTCTTATCCAGAGACTTTTCTGCTCTCTGCCAAATGTTTGAATGGCCATAAAACGGGGCCAAAAATAGTAATATGAATAATGGCTCCAATTGCTCAACTCAGTGCATTGTAGGGGGTCATTGCATTCAATCTCATGCTAAGCAGTATTTGGTAGTTAGAAATGGAGAAACGGAGGCCCATAGGAGTTAAATGATTTGTTCAAGGGCATCTGCAAACTGAGAGTTAAACAAGGTCTTTCTAATCACAGTCCAAACCCTTTAATCCACATATACCATCACACTGTGAGCAAAGTTACACTTGTCTTCCATGTACTAAGATAAGATGGGCCTTTAAAACTGTGTGTGGGGGGGAGACAACCTGTAAATAACTCCAATTTTAAAAAGTCTCACCTGAGAGCTCTTAGGACAGTTTTCATTAATCCCACTGAGCTTGCACATACCTTTTGTCTGTCTGTGATGGGACAGAAGATTTCTACCCAGTGGGTGTCTGTGCACATTTCCACTGCCGCAGCATCAATGTTTTCGTGAAAACCCCTATGTTCTTAATCACTTCATTCTGATGAGAAATGTGGGTTCCCCCTTTGAAGCCAAAGTATGAAGTGGGCCTCTCATCCTGGGTTCTTTTCTTCCCAGCTCTTGGGACAGGCCAGTGGGAAACCTTCAGATGCTCCAAAACCCAAATGAATCCAGATTCACCATTTTTCTTTAATTGGTGGAAGCCGTTTTGTGTTGTTCAAAGGCGCGTCAGAGCCCGCAGTGTGAGCATTGTGCCCCAAGATGTAGCCTGTTTCATCGTCCTTCATTAGGATGCAAGGGGGGAGTCCCGGCATCATCAACTGGGCCAGAGGAACAAAGGCAACATGGAAATTGGAGCAGGGCAATGAATCCCCTTGCTCACCACTTGTTCAAAACAAGAGTCTGACCATTTTCTCGAGAACTTATTTTGTCGTTGTGTTCCATACAAAGAAACAGGAAACTTCAGAGGGAAAAAAGGACCACATTTTCTTACATGGTGGGCCAGAGAGGCTGGGGTCGATGAGGGTGCTGGCAGCAGGTTAGCTTGGCCCCAAAGCTAAGGAGGGGGCTCACTTCCCTTGTTTCCTTCCCAGAGAAGGTTTACCAGAGAGCAGGGGAAAGTTTTTCTTCTTTGGGAAACAACACAGGGAAGGAGAGGCTTGGGAGTTGGCCCTTGAAGACTTTGCTATCTGGGGCTCTCACACCCTTGGATAACTGGAATGAGGCCAAACCTGCGTTGAATTATTTCACATGCTTTACTGACTACCCCATAAAATCTGGATGAGAAATCTCTCCTTAGACCAGTGAACTCCTTTGAAAATAAACCCACTTCAAGGTTGACAAGAATAGATGGTGGTTTCAGAAAGGCAGGTCCTTATTCACATTTTGAGGGTTAGTGTTTATAAATTGGTAAAGTTTTTTGAAAACTATATTGGTAATGGCCCTCAAACATTTACATATGTGTACCCTCTGGACTAACTGTTCAACACCTAGGAATCTATCTTTCAAAAATCTCTACTAGTTACTGTTGCACCAATTCTGACTCATAGTGACCCTGTTGGGCACAGTAGAACTGCTCCCACAGGGTTTCCAAGGCTGTAATCTTTATGGAAGCAGACTGCCAGGCCTTTTCTCCTGCAGAGCAGCTGAGTGGGTTTAAACCTATGACCTTTCAGTCAGCAGCCAAGTGCTTAACCACTGTGCCACAAGGGTCCTCCTCCAAAAATTTCTACATGTGGACAAAGGAATATATATAACTATGATGCTCTCTGTAATAGTAAAAAATGAAAAACAATATAAATTCCATCTTAGGGACTGAATGAATACATGGTTGTACATCCATCCACACAGTTGAATATTTGGCAATCACTTTTTCAAATGAGGTAGACCTACATGGATTGACATGGAAAAACATCTATGATATTGGTATTGAAATTGATATGTACTTAGTGTCCAGCAACGATTTGGAAAGGTCAATTTGAAGAGGAAACTAAGACATCACAGAAGCATTTTCCTATACTAGAACCCTGAGAAAGATTTGCTAAAATCATCTAATTTTAGAAACTAGTGCTTTTGCCCTAATCCCTTATACAGAGAGATCCCCCCACTTTCTTCTAAGCTTTTGAATGACCATAACATGGGGCTACTTTTAATCCACTTTTGTTTACAACAGGGTTTCTCAACCTCCCTACTACTGAGACTTTGGACCTCATGATTCTTTATTATGTAGAGGGCTATTCAGTGCACTGTAGGATGCTTAACAGCATCTGTAGACTATATCCACTAGATGTCAGCAACAAGCCCCCACCCCTGCCCCAGTAATGCCAACCAAATGTCTCCAGACATTGTTAAATGTCCCATACAGGCCAAAATCACCTCTATTGAGAACCACTGGTTTAAAATAAAGACACATAGATAACTTAGGTTTGTCCATCATAGGAAAAAAAACAAGTCTGGAAGGACACATACCAAGTTGAAAACAGTGGTTCCACTGGGAAACAGGACTGGCCAGGGAAAACAGTGTTCACTTTATTTTATATATCCCTGTATTGTTTATTTTTATAAGTATGTATTTATTCTATAAAGTAAAAAAATCTATTTCTATTCCACTTCCACTTTTAAACACAGACATACACAAAGCAAAAGAATAGCTGGTATCAAAAGATAGTCAGTCAGGACTCTCCAGAAAAGACAGACAAACAGGTCTTACCTGGGAAGGGAAATCCTTTGAGATGATTTGTTAGTGAGATAGAATGCTAAGCAGAGTTCATGGATCAACTGTGTGGGATCTCACCAAACCACATGGCAAGAACTGTATCTGAGAGATTATAAAGTATGTGGGAAATATGGAATTCTAGCCTCTGGTTTTGAATCTTATGGTTCCAGTCTCTTGCACTCTTCTGCTTCAAATCCTGCATCTGTAAAAAGGAGCAACCTACCATTCCATGGAGTCCCTAAGTGGTACAAACAGTTAAAGCACTCAGCTGCTGATCAAAAGGTCGGAGGTTCAAGTCCACTCAGAAGCACCTTGGAAGAAAATCCTGGTGATCTACTTCTGAAAAATCAGCCATTAAAAACCCAACGGCGCACAGTTCTACTCTGACACACATGGGCTTGCCATGAGTCAGAGTTGACTTGCTGGCAACTAGGACTGGTCTATTTCCAGAAAGACTTTATGAGGGTAGACCATTAAAGCACCATCTATGACGTTGTTGTCCCTCATCAGATTTGGTACCACATAAATAAATGATGAAATTCTCATTAACATTGCCTTTTATGCTTTTAAAACTATTTTTAAACCAGTATCTTGTCCTATTTGGGCATTTCCATGTTTGGAGAACCCCAGAATGCTTGGGTTTCTTCATGCTTTTGAAGAATTCCCTCCAGAAATATTTTCCCAGTTGGTTCATTGATAAATACTCAAGAAGAAAACAATAAAATAAACCTCTTTTCTTTTTGTTTTTTTAGCAGACTATTCTAGAAAAATAGTTAAGGCTTGTTCAGCAATTAATAGTTATATTGCCACAGCCAATTTTTGTGATACTTCCTGCCACTGAGTTATTTAGAATTCATGCCAAATTTTCTGAAGGAAAAGTAAATCTGAATCTTATAGCCAAACAATAAAATATGTGTTGTCCCCATAATTATGCCTGCAGATAGCATATCAAATACCCACTGCTCGTATCTTCACCCAGCTACAACTATTTTGTACTAAGGGAATTGTGGTTTTGGAACATTTTGAAAACTGACAAAGGAGAATTCTCTTGTCCATCTGTGCCAGTGTTTTAAAGTGATTTGAGACAGTTTGTGAATCAGGTTATAAATAAGTTCATAATGACTTACTTTACATTCCTTTTACATTATGGGATTTATTTTTCCTGAATAAAATAACAATGAAGTCTGAATTTTTGGCTCACAAGCTACCCATAAATATTTCCATCACAATTTTTGGACCAATTTCTTTTCTTTTTTTCTTCCCCTGCTTTCACCCATCTACTTAAAGGCATTTGGCTTATTTGGTGATGTTTTATCTCTCTGTAATTTTACTTTAAAAA